TGCATCCGAAGAAGTGGGCTGTAGTCCACGAAAGCTTATGCTCTAATAAATTTGTTAGTCTCTAAGGTGCCACAAGTACTCCTGTTCTTCTTAAAGCAGTGAAAGTAGCCTGCTAGCCCAAGCAATTGCAACACCTGTCTCTTTGTGGTAGGGGCCGATTAAGCCTGCAGCGCCTGGATCTTCACTACCAGGAGTCGTACTTGGCCTCGGGCGAGGGTGTACCCCAAATAGGTGGTTTCCTGCCAACCAATTTTACACTTCTTGGGATTGTCAGTCAGGCTGGCGTCCCGTAAGCCTCTAAGGACAGCGGGTACATAGTTGAGATGGTCCTCCCTGGGGCTGCTGTAAATCACTACATCATTGAGGTAGGCTGTGGCGTAGGCACAGGGAGGCTGTAGGATCCAGTCCATCAGCTACTGGAAGGTGGCTGGGGCCCTGTGGAGACCAAAAGGCACCCAGGAAAATTGGTACAACCCAGTCAGGGAGGCAAAGGAAGTCTTCTCCCAGGAGCTCGGGTCCAGGGGAATTTGCCAGTACCACTTTGTGAGAATCAGAGTACTGATGTATTGGGAATCACTGAGGCGGTCTAGTAGCTCATCAATCTGCGGCATTGGGTACGCGTTGAATTTCAAGATGGTGTTGACTCTCCAAAAATCGATACAAAACCTAAGGGTCCCATCCGGCTTTGGGACCAGGATGATGGGGCTGTGCCAGTCACTTTGTGACTTCTTGATTAAACCTAGCTCCAGCATGGTCTGGACCTCCTTCTCCACTATTTCACCGGTGTGACCGGGCAACGGCCTTGTGGTCTCTCAGATGACTTCTTCCACGTTCGTCAGTATTCTATGTTAAACTAGTGTGGTGTGCCATGGCTGCACCATGAAGGTTTTGGGGAATGACTTCAATAGGCTCCTGGCCTGCCTCAGTTGCTCCTCAGTCAGGGTATTCCCCCAGCTGCGGCTCCTCCGAGTTGGTGGAAGCAGGGGGTTTGGGTCCTAGGTCCAGTTCCAGGAGGTATGGGGCATAGGTGACGACTTCTGCTCCCGCCAGTGGGTGCTCAACCCCCCTCTGCTCCCGGCTCTGCCCCCACTCCACCCCTTCCACGAGGCCCTGCCCTGCCCCAAGTCTGTCCCCTCCCTGACCCTATTCCAACTCCTTCCTCAAATCCCCGCCTCTTCCCCACCTCCTCCCCTGAGCCCGCCATGTTCCCGCTCCTCCGCCTCCCACCCAGCATGCCGCCAAACAGCTGTATGGTGGCGGCCAGGCAGGAAGTGCTGGGAGGTAGGTAGGTGGAGGAGCGGGAACGTGACGTGCTGGGGGGGGGGTGGAGCTTGGTTGCCAGTGGGTGCAGAGCACCCACTAATTTTTCCCTGTGGCTGCTCCAGCCCCAGAGCACCCATGGAGTCGGTGCCTATGATACGGGGTGATTAGCAGCCACTCCTGCTCCCACCATGCCTTTAACAAATTGACATGGTAGACCTGTCATTTTTTTCTTTCTTTTGGGTTGGGACACCTCATAGGTGACCGGCCTGACCTGGCTAATAATTCCATAATGCCCCTGCCAGCATGCGAGGAGCTTTGATTCTTCGGAAAGTAGTAGGAGCAGTACCTTTCGCCGGGCGCAAAGGTCCTCCCCTGGGCTCCTTTGTTATACATTCGCTCTTGTTCCTTCTGTGCATTCTGTAGGTTTTCCTTTGCCAGATCCCCCTAGTTAACTG